CCCCCCCCCCCCCCCCCCCCCCCTATTTCCTTTTCTCTCTCTTTCTCTCTCTCTCATTGCAAGTTGTTGGTGATGCTTTGCTACTGCCTACTCTTTTTGTTGTCTTTAAACATTGCTACCATCCTAATCATTTTGTTGTTACATGGGGCCATCTTTATACTTTAGTGTGAACTACAGTTGACAAACAACATTTGTTGTCGACTAAAATCGTTCTTTGAAAAGGAATTGACACGCTGTGTATTTGTCTGTCCAGCGGCCCCTGCCTGGAGGTCCCACCCCCGAGACGTTACAGTCGGAGTGGAAGAGAGTGCCAGCTTTGAGTGTGAGGCTGTGGGCAATCCCAAGCCCACAGTAGAATTCTATGTCAATGGAAAGGCTATTGATGGTGAGTGCGTCGTCTGTGATGTTTACCTTTTTGTTGGTGTTGTCATTTAGTCATGTGCGCTGATTTAGTTTAAAAGCTGACATTAAGGGTAGGTCATTAAAATTTACAGTGTATTCTGGGTAGGAACTGAACCTATGATAATTATGAAAGTGTTTTGTTTGTACTAAGGGCTGCTGGATTTCTAGATAAATCTGGAAATCCAGATTTTTTACTTTGTCCAGATTTTTTGCTGGATATTTAAAACAAAATTAGTTAATTAAACCAACCTCTCCCCCCCACTTATTTTGTTCATCCAAAATCAAGTGGTATACTCATCTGAAACAAAGAACCCTCCATATGAGACTATAAGTAAGATGTCCATCAACTTGGTAAGCTGTTTAGTTGTTAAATAATTTTAGTTCACCTTGTCATGACAAGTGTAGCTTTGTCTAGTTGTGTGCTGCCTAGTTGGGTGGAGAGGGATTTATGCATGCCCAGCAATAATACATGTGATGCTTGCTGGCTTTCTCCAGAGGCTCCATCCAACCCCCGCCGCACCTTGAAGGGCAACACGCTGTTCTTCAGCAATCTGGAGAAGAGCGACTCACAGGTCATCCAGTGCAATGCCTCCAACTCTCACGGCTCTATCTGGGCTGATGTCTACCTCTATGTCCAAGGTGAATGGGGAGAAGAGTTATGTCTGTTTCTCAGTCTTTCTATCTTTCTGTCTTTTTCTCTCTCTGTCTCTCTATCTCTATCTCTCTCTGTTGCTGTCTCTTTCTCTCTCTCTCTCTCTCTCTCTTTCTCTCTCTCTCTCTTTCTTGTTTATACAATACAAGCTTTAACACCCCAGTGAGAGAGGACGACTTAGAAAAAGAGCCTTTTACTGTTCCTTCTTTGTTTTATCAGGGGTTTTATTACCTACTAGACTTCACACTGTGCGTTTCTGGGCTCTTTATCTTTCTGGTTTTGATCCTTTATTGACAGACCAACTGGATGAAAGACAGAAAAAAATTCCTTAGTTTTCTAGTTATTGGTTTGGTAAAAATACCTTTTACTTGTTTCATCTCCTCAGAATAGCTGGTTTGTGTACTATTTATACTCAAGTCACTTAGTTTAGCAGTTTTGTAATGTTAAAGGCTCAAAAAAATCTAAAGTTTCAGTCACAATGGGCTCTGATCTTCAGCTATAGAAATAGCTAACTTTTGGAGACCATTTTCTCGCTAATTTAACCTCTGAAACAAAGCAACGTCCACCTCATTCAATTGTGGATATCTCGACTTCAATTCAAGAGAAAATATTTTTTTCTTTCATCAAAGATAAGACAAATGAACAAGTTCTAAGCTGATACCAATAACTCCACATGCCCAAAAATTGACCACCTGATTTCACTGCATCATGACACACATACTTTCTTTCTGCTCTAACAAATGAATAAAAATGCGTCCCCAGCTCTCCCTCCCACCATTGAGAAACCGCCCCAGGATCGTGTGGTGACTGCCGAGGGCAAAGACCTGACTCTCTCCTGTCAGGTGACCGGCAAACCAAAGCCTAAGGTGGTCTGGTACAAGGGTGTACAGCCGCTGGTGCACAAACGTTTTCAGATTACCGAGAAGGGAGATCTGATCATTAAGGTAGGCAGTCCGAGAGAGAGAGAGAGAGAGAGAGAGAGAGAGAGAGAGAGAGGGAGAGGGAGAGGGAGAGGGAGAGGGAGATGGAGATGGAGATGAAAGAGTATTGGAAGTGGGGGAGAAGGAGGGAGAGAAGGAAGGAAGGAAGGGGAAGACAAAAAGTTGGAAATGGGAAAGAGGAGAGAGAGAGAGGGAGGAAACCCCCCCTCCACAGAAACAGAGACAGGCAGACATGCAGGTTGGCATACAGGCAGACAAATATTAATGCAAACAAGAGAGGGATTGAAGAGGGGAAGAACTGTGAGAAAGAGAGACGGAAAAGAGATAAAGAAAGTGTGAAAAGAGAAAAAGAGAGAATGATAGAAGGGAAAAGCAAAATAGAGAGTGAAGGAGAAGATGTGAGTACATTTCTGGTTTGTTGTCTTGATCAATTGTTGAATTTGATTATTCTTTGGTGCTTTTTCTCACTGGGACCTGGCTATGTAAAACACCTGCCTTTTTCCTGTGTCCAGAAAACGAACAAGAAGAAGGACCCTGGTACCTACAGGTGCATTGCAGAGAACAAGTTTGGAAAGGCAGAGGCTGAGGGACAAGTGGTTGTGAGAAGTAAGTTGGCCACCCGGGATGTAATATTATTAGACGCAATACATCGGCTACTCAACGTAGTACTCTGTCATACGTCACTTTTCAGAATGGTGTCTGAGGGAGTCTTATACTAAGCAGTCGAAAAGTGATCAATCCATGATGGTTATTATTGTTGTTGTTGTTGGTGTTGTTTTTGTTGTTGTTGTTGGCGTGTCATCGATCCAGGGATGGTTTCACCAGTTAATTCAAAGCAATGGAATGTCCTACAGTGGTTAGTTTAATTTGATGTGAGGCGGAGAAAAGATAATTCTTGTTCAAGGCACCTATACTCATATTATTATGTCTACTCATTGCACATTCACATAACATTTATTTTATGCACTGTTTTCACTCCAGTTAATCCACTTTACATTTTCCCTTCCATAAAATGTATCTGTATACTTGTCTGTTTATCCATGTATTTATTCATATCTGTTTAAAAATAATATTTTTGGTTCAAATTATATAGCAGGACTCAGAGCACATATGTAGCATAATAAATGGCGAACTGTTATTTGAAAACTGCAAGGAAATGGGGTCTCAGTGATTGCCCCTTCCCCCTTTAAAAAAAAGACATAAAAAAATAAAATAAAATAATGCTTAACAGTTGAGTGGAAGTTATTTTGAAAACCAAAAATGAGGCTTTTATGATTATACAAAATTATACAAATGGAGGGCTATCTATGATATGCATTGATTTTTGTGGGTCTCATTTAAAGGAGACCACAATTTTAGATCAGATTCCATATTTGAGTCGGTTTTAGATTATATTTATATTAAAAGATCTTTAGGACTTTCGGACAGGTCAAAAAGTTTCCTGGATCCCGCATAAGACCAAACATATAAATTTCAGTTGTTGGGCGTTAACCATCTTATTGCTGTGATATATATATGATAATATTCTATGCGTGCTTTTTGAAGTTGTGTGATAACAGCTTATTTCCTCCATTCATTGTTAACCTTTTGTGCACAATAATTTATCTCTGTGAACCGTAATTTTTGCAAGGGTCAAAAAGAAGCATTGGTGAGTCTGGTTTTCCCAGTGTAGTTGACGGGTGAAAGGTTAACCTTATCCAGAATGCTGCGGGTGGAATGTGTGCCTTAGCATGGCCACGAGAAAAGGCTATACAGACCCATTGCAGATGACTTCCATTTTTGCTGTGTTTCTTTACACACAAGGTTTTTCTTTTCCTCTTAAACTGGCTGCAGTCTCTTGCTGTCAAACATATCTGTCACAAAATAGTAAGGGGTAACCAAAGTGTCCATTCACCTCCTAGAAATAAAACAAAAACTGTGCACTTTGTCCTTTTCTGTCAATGTCAGTGGGAGTCAAATGATTTGCCTCTCTATCCAAGTTAAAGACATCAGAAATGGCAGTCACCGCAGCAGGTCTATATAAGGAGAGACATTATATATAACAATTTCCCCCCATTGCAATGGAAGTTTTGCTTATTTCACTGCTCTCAACTTCGTTAAGCCAGGAGCGTAATCCTCAAACATACACACTGAAACTTTTACAAATAAAGACAAAGAAGTACACACAGACACATGGCTAAACACGTAGGCCTACGTCTGAACATGCAGACTACTATGTGAACAAAGAAACATACTGGCAAAAGTAAACATAAATGTTCTTGCAGGTGAGTGCAAATGCTCACAAACACACTCTTACACAAGCACTCACTCAAACCAGTGAACCCTCAAATAAACAAATATACATGCAAATAAAGAAGTTCTTTTCTTTCTTTTAGCAATTGCTGTAGGTTTTTCATATCATAGACAGACATAATGTCAAAGCCTACAAGTTGCCATCATACCTTTTTTTTCATTAAGACATTCCTGGTTCCATTTTGTTTTAGACTCACTCACCACCAATCACCTTTTTTTTTCTTCCAAACACATTTTCACCCATTTCTGTTCTGACCTGGATTTGTTTTTATTCATTTGTGTCTTGGTGGGAGGGAGTTTGGGGTTGTTTTTTTTGTTTGTTATGGGTTTACATAACTTGCCTTCAGTACAATAAGATCACTGACAAGTCTACCTCCTACTTATTGTCCGTCTCTGATAAAATTGCACTGGGTGGCTCCTTCATTCTAAGCACTTATCCCCTTATCCTATATTACTTTCAGTTCTATGTTGGTTTTCTACAACCATTGTACTCTGTTTCGTTTTGTTGTTTTTTTGCCGTTTTGTTTTATTTTGTCATTTTCATTCATTTACTTGCCTATTTATCATTTGTATTATAATTTTATACATAATCATTCAGAGCTACCTAACCTGCATTGAAGGTGATGGGAAATTTTTTGCACTCCCAAGCATGAAAATGTGTACTTACCTATGACATGCGGACAGACGTTTGCTTATTATTACACAGTTGTTTACAGCTACTGGAGATACATTTGAATATTTGAAAATAAGAATGTATATCAGCTCTAACAGTGTATCTGATACATGTATACATAAACCCCTCTCCTGGTTGTTGCAAGATCTGCCTTTTATTTTCAAGATCTGCCTTTTACCAATCAGCTGTACATTACTGAGTTAATGAGTTGATGGATGATTTATTTATTTTTATTTTAGAAAAAAAATAATTTCACCAAGCGTTAAGTATTTATATTCATCCATCTTCCATAATTGTCTTTGACTCAGTTGTTTTCATTTTTCTTCCCACCTATTTTCTCCTGTGCACAAAACAAGCAACTGTTTTTTAATTAAATTATAAACTGCACTTGTGACTCAATTTTGTGCCACATGGGTTAAAGCACTCATTATACCTTCAGACATTTTTTTACTTGTTCTGGAAATTGATCTTGTGATTCCCAGAATGTATGACAGTATGCCATAGGGGGGTTTCATATTTTGGGATATCTTTAAGGTTCTGATAATATTAATCGATACCTTCCCTCATAATAATCTCGATCTGGTCTGTCATGTTTGTGACGTCGGTGAGGTGAAAAACTTGCCTCAAGTCTATGATGATACCTGTGGGCAGTAAAGCCCTGGTAGTTAACAGTTTCTGCCTATCATTTTTAGGGAGTATTTTGATGGAAAGTAACCAGAAAAGCACTAAATTTCATTTGTATTCTTGTTTCTCATGTATTTTATCTGAAGTTTTTCCATACATAACTGAGCTATTTTATACATTTTGTGTGTTCAGTGTATATAATTTAACCAAAGCAAGAGGCAGTCAACATTGTGACATCTCCTTTGAGCAGTACTAGAGGGTTTCTTACAGTGGTTTCCTTTGTCTCTCTGTGTGTCTCCAGTGAAGACATCTATTGCCACCAAGCCAATTGGAGAGCAGGTTGACTACACAAATCCAGTAACCTTCACCTGTGGAGCTGTCACTGACAAAGATGAGGTTGCCAATCTCAAGTGAGTTCTTGTTACTGTCTTTTATATTGTTGTTAGATTATTCACAAAAAATGCGCTCATATGACCTTATGCAATTGGAGCGCCGCCATAAAAAACCTATCAGAACAAATAACAAAACAAAAAGTAAAGTATAATCTCCCATGTCTTTGTGCATCATAATGATCACAGCCACCTGTTTCCTGTGCTTGTAAGGCTCAGTAGGCTTATCAAACCCCTCTGGAAAGCCCATTGTGACCAAAGATGTGCACACTAGGTCAAACACACGTGGGTTGTGGCGGATAGGGGGGGGGGGGAGACATCTGTGCAGGCATGTGAATTTGTAGGATGGATGTCTTATTTTGGTAAATATTTGTAGCATGTAGTGCCCATTGGATGGATTCTGAGCGCTTTACGAAATATGTGGTTTATTATTGATATTTTAAAAAATTCTTTATTATTATTATATAGTTCTGTAAGTAAATCAGGAGGACTGGGGAATATTACACAGGGATAAGGATGGAGCAACACATGAAAGAGTTGGCCCACTCACCTTCCATCTATGCATCATTGTTCGTGGGTGGTTGATGGGTGCTCTGGTGTGGCTTGCTCCTTTTTTCTTATCGAGCATCTTTCCTCCTGATCTCTCCCTCTTTTTTGTGATTGTTTCTCTCTTGTAATACATCCAATCTCCGGCGCGTATATGACCTTATTGCGTTGCAAGTGCTGTAAAACTCTTACTAAAACTAAATTATTTATTGTTCCTCCTCTCAGGTACCGATGGCTCAAGGATGGAGCAGAGCTGGAACCCTCTGACCGTGTGAGTATTAAAGCTGGAGTCCTGACCATCATGGAGACATCCAGCAAAGACACTGGGTCCTATACGTGTGTGGCAGAAAATGGCCTGGATAATGACACAGCCACAGCTACTTTGCAGGTCAAAGGTAAGGTCCTGTCCGTGTGGCGGATGGCTCTTCTGCTGATACTTCTGTTGTTTGTCTTTGCTCTTTGATAATCGTGTTTCTGAGGGTGCTTTTGGCAAGTGCTGAGGTGTGGTTTGCTCCTTCTTTCTTATCCAACAAAATCCTTATCACTCCCTCTTCTTTTCTTTGTACATTACTCTCCAGTAACACTTCCAATTTTCGGTTCTTGTGTGACCTGTTTGTTTCGCAATTGCTGTTAAACTCTTCATCATCATCTGGTGTCTTGCCGACTGGCATGGGCGATCATGGACCTCCGTTTCACTCTTGTCTTGCTTTGCAGCGATGGTCTCTGTCGTTCTTGCTGTTACCAGCCATGTTGTCAACCTGTCCAGTATCTTTTCCCTCTGTCTGCCTCTGCTCCTCTTTCCATAATACTTGCCTGTTCTTACAATATTCTCCAATGCTTCTTTCCTCATGGTGTATCCAATGAACGCTGCCTGTCGCTTTCGTATATTTGTCATAAGCTGTCGTCTGCAATTTGATTTAACCAAGACTTGGTAAACTCTTACTGAAACAATGATGTTTCTTTTTCTTGTTTCTATTTTTTTATGGGTGTTGCAGTTTGTTATTTCTATTGTTATCATTATTCATTTGTATTTGATCCTAGCCTCGATTGCTTGGAAACATAGCTCTCCCACCATTAGGGGGTACAGCTCACCCTCAGCTTGGTGCCACTGATATGCCCCAGCCTCTCCTGTTTAGGGTTGGCATCGTTTATCTGAACCTACTCTGTCTTTGGTCCAGCTTATTCCTGCTTATTCTTTCAGCAAGAGTCCTGTCCAGTAAAGAAAAAAAACCAAAAGTTCCAAAGTGGGCAAGGGGCCTTCAAAAAGATCTTGTATCTAGTAAGGCATTATACCCTTGGACAAGAAAAATTATAGTCCATATTGTTTTTATTATGATAACAATCGTTAAAATTGATTTCTGATCCTAATTTTTAAAAGTGTATGTTTTAATCGAGTATGCTTAAGCTGATGCAAGCAAGGCTTAAGTTTTGCTGTACATAAAGACAATATTTTGAGTTATTCTGTCCTATGTCCTGGGCTGATATGTGGGTGAGAGCCCCACTGTTAAGTTCTACCCATCCCTTTATTGTTTTGGTCTGTTTTTCGTAGTTTTTTTCATCGGCTTGAAATGATGACTGTCGTATAGATTCCCGTCTCTTATTCTGAAACAAAACTTGTCCACAGCCGTGCCAGATCCTCCTTACAATGTGTCAGTGTCAGACTGCCTTGCCAAGAAAGCCATCATCAAATGGAAGTTTGAGGAGAAGATGAGAAACTTCGACACAATGACCAAGTTTATTGTGGAGTCCACGACAGCGTACAAGAATGATGTATGGGAGAAGGTAAAATGTGAACAACTTTTTTTTCAAATTTTACTTTTCTCCCTGAAAACTAGGGCTGGATCCTGCTCGCCAAATTTAAGAGTGGCGATTCGCGATTCAGTCGGCTTCAAAGAATCGCGAGTACGTGAGCGCTCGTGGAACTGTGGCGGAACACTGACTGAAATGGAACAGTGTCATATCAACGCCGCTTGGCGAGTGCGAGTCCCACTCTTGTTGTTCCGCCATTCTCTCTGTCCCACACCCTTTGTTGTGCTGCTCTATTAACTGACCTCAATAAGTGACCCCCATAAATTCACCCCCCCCCCCCAACCCCATGATTCGCTAAAACAATGGCTCCATAAAATTCCTTCTGTCTATTGGTTGGACCCCGTTCATTTTGTTTTAATACCCCCTATTAAAACAAAATGGACTATAACATCTTTTGTAAAATAAGGGGAGCCATACTAAGTGTTCCGTTCCGTTTTTGCGCTCATGACTAGACTCAGCAGTAGGTTAAACAGGCCACAAGGTGGTGACAGCGTCAGGGGAGTGAATCGGGAATCGTTTGGCGATACTATTCCGCGTTCCGCTGAAGTGAATTGTGAATCACGTTCCGCAGGCAAGAGTGGCAATTCAGTTCCGTTCTCGCGCTCGCGATCCAGCTCTACTGAAAACATAAAAATCAAAGGGGTCAGAAAGGTCATTATTTGTTTGACATGTTTGCAGCTCGTTGGACAAATTTGTCTTTTATTTAATCCTTGTAAGACTCTTTTCATATTAAATGAGACTCGTGTGTAAGTACGGTGTGGTTACCCAGAGATTAGAATTGTATTATGCACATCATTGCAAATATAGTAGGAAATATGTGGCAGGTGGTGAAATCAGGCACTCATCAACATAATGAAATCGAAGAAACAAACATTTTTCCTCCAGTTGAACAATTTTTTATCTAATATTTTTTAGGTTTAACACCTTTTCTGTTCACTTAAAAACAAACTTTTGAGTTGATTTTACTGAAATAAAAAAAGGATTAAAACGACGGACCAGTTTGCATTATGAATAACTTATATTGGTTCAATGGGGGAGTAAAACATTTATGATCAATTACTGTCAATGTCACAGCCTGGGTTGGCCCTGTCAGTGACCCAACACTTTCTGAACAAGTAAAACTGTGTCAAAGCAGACATTACATGTCTACTTTCGATCTCTACAGGAGGTAACGCTACCGTATCCGGCATATGAAGCCAGCATCAACTTGTCGCCGTACGCCAAGTACAAGTTCCGTGTGAAGGCTGTCAACATGATGGGCATCAGTGATCCCAGCCACACGACGTACTCTTGGTGCGAGACCCCCATGTCGTTGCCGGATAAGAACCCAGACGGTGTCGAGACAGACGAGCAGTTTACTAACTTCCTGGTGGTCAAGTGGGAGGTACGGTCACACGTTTAGTTATATTACTGTTTTTGTTTATAAATTAATATGATGAATATTTGGAGTAGTTTTCTTTTAGTCAGAACACAATGTTTTATGTTACTGTTGCACGTTGTACTGTATTGTAAAGCGCTCAGAGCCTGTGTACTTAAATTGGGGTTGAGCGCTATATAAATGTCATTTATTGTTATTATTATTATTATTATTATTATTACTGCTGGTCAAGAGGGAAATATGGTCACTGTGCCGGTCTAATTAGATTACTGCTGGTCAAGTGGGAGGTACAGTTACACATCTATTTAGATTGCTGCTCACATGTACATGATCCAACACAACTTGTATTTTTATCAACTCTTTTTACACTACAAACTATCAGCACATTATTAAGAAGTGTTAAGAAAGTTCCCAATGTACTGGTGTATGGAACAGAAAGAGTTGAATTTTTTCATTTAGGCCTATAGCAAGTTGATTCACCTGTGGCTTCCACTTAGAGCTCAATCTCTTGGTGGGGTCTTGTAAAAAAATATATCCCAGAATATCCACAGCTCTTCTTTTAGAAAACACATTTTAACCCTTTCCTATTCATGGTCTTGGTCATCGACTGCCTACTATGTGTTCAACTTCTTTCTTTTGAAACAGTCTTTCCGGGTTTGCATTCTTTAAAGATTAATGGAAGTAGTGGTAAATTTTTACTCCTGATACTAGCTCCAACATACTTTTTATTACAAGAAATGAAAACCAAGGTTACAGCTTATTGTCAGAGATTTATTTTTTATTACAGCCAAGCTCACCTGTTAGGAAATTGGTGGAAGAAACGAGGTGTGTGCATGGCTGGTTTTGGCTGGTTTGAACACTCGCGTACCATTTTTTCCCCCCTTGTTTTTGCTGGGTTGAACAAGAAAGAGTTTGATGCTGTAGGGTAATGTGTTATATGTATCTCAGAGCAAACTGTAACAAAACTTGATATTCTTTCCCACAGCCAATGGAAGAGATTGATCTAAATGGCCCCCAGTTCCGCTACTTGGTGGAGGTACAGGAGATAGGGACGGATGATGTGCAGACGTTTGAAGTGGATGACTTTAGAGAGAATGAGAAACACATTCCTGTCAACAACACATACAAGTAATGCAGGCTTTTATGTTTTGTATAAGAACTATTCCGGTCTTAAATAGAGCCTGTTTAAATTTTGTTTCTTTGTATTTCATGAAAAGCTGCAGTAGTTTTGTTTGAAATGCTTTTGTATGAATCTAATATTGATCTTTTTAAATGTGCAATTACTTGTATCAGTGATTTTAGAGAAGATTTTTCTGAATTATAGGACAGGGCTTTCTTTTTGGACTAAAGTTTACTGTTTCAGTCACAGGATAGAGGTAGGAACTACTGGTGTGTCTTGTAAAGTTATAATGTGTTGGGAGAATGAATCATTACTGAGAGGGAATATAAAGAACAAAGTCTGTGTTTTCATCCTTGTATTTTTTTTTCGTAGCAGAAAAGGTATTAATTTGTAACATCATGTAAAAAACGTATTGCTTGTCTCTGAAAAGAGACTGAGTTATGTTGATTTTTAATAGTACTTTGTCTAATGCCTATTTTTTGGTTGTGTCCAGGCCTTACCTTGTGAAGGTACGAGCGGTCAACCAAGTAGGCAAGGCCATGGCCAACCCGCTTGCTATTACTGGCTACTCCGGAGAAGCTCGTGAGTTGTTTATTTTTCTTACATGTTGAGGGTGACAATGGAGGGGCGGTTCTTGCATGTTGATAGAGACAATAAGAGGGCCTTGCATATTGATAAGGACAATAGTCGGGTTCTTGCAATTTGATAGAAACAATATATTTTTTTAAAGCACGGGTGTGGGAGAGGGGTTGAATATGATGTTGCCTGTAAGCTGATCCTTTCTACATTCTATGATTCCAGCACATGTAAGACATGCATGTACATGTCGCAGTTTCGAAGCTATGAAGTGGAATGGATGATGTGAAGGAGATCTCCTCTTGGACAGAAAGTAACTTTGTCCAAGGCTTTACCCAATACCTAATGCTGGTATTTTATTCTTTGTTTGAGGTGTGAGAACAAATGTGTGGATGAAGTGTCCATCCCATGGACAAACTGTCGAACTCATCACTAATTGACCTTTTTTTTCAAAATGTTGATTTATTTCTCATTAACTGAAACTGAACTCTTTACGTTCCATATCTACCCAGAACTACAGAGATCGAACACAAATTTTGTGATAAACTCAGCTATAGATAGACGGTAAACTGTTGTACCACACTGAACTCAACAAAAGCAGAAAGCATAACCCTCACACCAAAGTCAAGCATGAGAGTCTAAGTTAACAAGTGGTGAGTCGTGTGTGTTTGTGTCTCTCCAGCGCCTCTGGTGGTCCCCGACAACTTTGAGCTGGACCCAGACGTGAACGTGACAGCAACCAGCGCCGGCTTCCGCTGGGACCCCGTGGATACCAGCCCAGAGATGATACGCGGAGAGTTCTCTGGGTACAAGGTCAGTTCTGACCTCAAGGTCAATTTTCGAATTTTTGGAGGGATGTTCTTCTCTGACTCCCGCCTGTCTTCTTGTCAGATTTGTCTGAAATTATGTTTCTTTGATGTTCAATCAAATCTGTTTCAGGAGGATATAATTTTTATCCTTTCGAAACTTCAGGGTTTAAAGTTAGGGGACAGGTCTTTTTGGCTTAATAATACTTTGAAGAATAATGCTTACATTAACAATAGTTATAATGATAGTCATGATAACAATAATAGTTGTAACAATATCAATAATCATTATAATAACAATGGTAAAAACATTATTAATGATTTATTTATGACTCCTCAAGTGTGTGAATTGTTTTCTTTTTCTATACAGGAGTATTTGACAGTTTTATTTTTCTTGCCTATCACTTTGACTAAGCCTTTTGGATTGTTACATATCGGTATACTCCAGAGGATCAAATTGTGTTGGAAGTCAAAATTTTTACTCACAGATTTCTATTGGATGAAATGAGTGCCCGAAATATTAAGAAAGTGCTTTAACATTTTCACTTTTCAACAAATTTTCCTCAGATCCGATTTTGGAAGAAGGGCCAGCAAGACATCACCTTCCACGAGCACATAGTACAGGAAGAGGCAGACAGCTTCCGGCGTCGCAGACAGGCAGGTGACAGGAAAGTGCGAGGTCTTGTGGCCAATTTGCCGTCATACGCAGAAGTGGAAGCGGATGTGGTGGTCATCAATAAAAACTTTGAGTCCAACGGGAGCAACGTTGTCAACTTCTCAACGCCTGAAGGAGGTACTGGGATGTTCGCAAATATACATTTAAATTTGCTGCTTTGTTTTTCTTGTTTTACTCATTGATTTTGAAACATGATGCAAATTTAAGCTAGAAGTTTTAATGAGACTGAGGAGCTTTACAGGCAGAATTAGAGTAGATTTCAAAAATACATTTTAATTTAATAACTCCTCCGTATGTAACACCATATATTTAAAACAAGGCAGACTTGAGCAAATACAAGAAACAGTACTCTGGTTTTTTCATAAATATTCATTAATGTTTTTTATCAAACATTTTTTTTCAAGCTAGACAGAAGAAAACTTCTAAATAGAGCTTATGTAGTCAACATTGACAATGGAACGTTAAACTCGACAAAGATTTTAAAAATAATGCTGTTTTACTAAATGAAATTATTAGTGTAATCTTCAAAGGTTTACAGAAAATCATTTATTTCTAAGCAGTCTTTCTGTTTGTTTATCTGTACTATAACTACCACATTAACACAGTTTACTTGTAGTTTACCAATATTCAACACCAAATCTGGACTTGTGACAACACCCCCCCCCAAAAAAAAACCCAACAACAACAAAGAACAAACAAACAAACAAATAAACAAACAAACCCGAAAACAATTCAAATATCATGCTGCTTCTTGTCTGTTGTCCAGTTCCGGGTCGAGTGGAGTACCTTGAGGCTCTGTACCGGGGCTCCCATCACTTCCTGTTGCAGTGGGCACCGCCCAAGGAACAGAATGGTGTGGTCACAGGCTACAAGGTGTCTTATCAAAGGAGTAAGTGCTCACATCAGTGCCCTTTGTCTGTTTCTCTTCCATTGCACTGTACTGTAAGCGAATGCCACTGTTGTATCTGTGTTCCCTGTTGTGTGTACCATTAATATTGGAGAAGGACAGTCAAAGGTGTTATGGATTTTTTAAATCCTGATACCGGGGCCATGTAGGAAAAAGAACTGTACTGCCAAGAATTATTTGAGCTTTATGAGAAATCTAAATTGCCACCGGAATATCTGCTTTTTTTTCTTATGGCCACTCTCAGGGAAATAGATGCAAATATGAGAAGTTTGAAATAACATTCAACATTTAATGATAACTCTTTGAAAACATTGCATTTCAATGCATTGCTTCTCCTTTTTTTTTGGTCAGAAATGGACATTGTAATGGACAGCTTTTGTTTTCACATTATTTCCATTCCAGTAAGAAGCCCAGTGTTGTTCAATCAAAACTTGTGTTAACATTATTTGCAACAAGACCAATGGAGAGATTGCTCTTTTTATTAAGTCTTAGAAAATGAAAAAAGAAAAATAATTTATCATGCTTAAGAATATTATGATAAACAAAGCCACTGGTACCAGTAAACTTGTACTGCATGAGCCTTTCACGACTGTCATTGTTGTTTTTTATGTTGTAGACTTTGTAAAACTTACATTATCAGGAAAATTTGAAAGAGACAGGCAGTAAACCTTGGAGGAATGTTGTCTTTTTTTCACTTGCACTTTGGTGTTGTACTTATTAATATTCGTTTTTTTTTTCGTTTTTTTTGTTGCTTTATGTTTTTCTTGGGGAAGAGTATTCTTACACAAAGTTGGATCTGTTTAGAGTAGGGATCTTTAGAATATGTATCCTGACTTGTGTCTGATTTGTAGTCATGCAGTGTTTTCATGATTAAATAAAATGTCAGGAAGATGGGTGAAAAATTAGAAACTAAAGAAAAAGTGGTGCAAATTTTTCCCCATTTTTATTGTTGTGGTTGTCTTGAGCTTTAGCAGTTATTATGCTAACAGTCACATACTAGAAAATAATTATTTTAGTGAACCCTGATCTAGACTTACTATCAAGGACTTTCACCAAATGAAATTGAAGACCTTTCCTTTCATAAGAAAAGTTATTTCTCTATGTTGCATTTCTAGCTTAATGAGTTTGATTATTCCTGTGTTGCATGTTTAGTTTGAAAAATCAGTCGCTTTTTATGGTGACTTAGGTTTTTAGATTTTATTTGCAGATGTTGAAACTCTTCATTTTTATTACAATTTGCTTCAATTTATTGTTCTTTCCCTAGTTACAGAAGGTAATGTTATCATTTGCTTTTTTTTGGTTTTCTTTCTGCAGTTGTTTTCTTGCTGTTCTTAAAAGAACTCTTTAAAAATGTAATCTCACTTCTTCTTGAGGGTGCAGCGTGCTTTGTGTTTGATTTTTAAAAAACATCAGGTTTATCTACTCATGCAATGTACATGAATTTGTTTTTGGAAAGGCTATAGGTAAAGAAGTACATTAATTTTGATGAGTGCTATCTCATAACTGTTAATGGCCTTTATATGGTTTAAATGGTGAAAACTGTAGCAGTGTGTCAGACTTAAGAAAAGTTCAAAGACAAACTGAATTTAGCTTTTGTAGCTAGCACTATGCTTTTGTCTGTCTTTCTGATTACAATAGACTTTTATTCTCTCTCTCAGCTGGTGTCATGTACAGCTTTCTAGTCCATATATCGTTACCTTAGACCTGCAGGATTTTTCTGGTTTATTTACTACGTTCTCCTTTGTAGCTTCATCGCTATAATATCTAGAAATGCTTATTAAAACGGTATAGTGGGTTGAGCGGGGATATGAGCTTTTGCAACTTTGTGCTGAAATGTACGTCTATAAGCTTGCATTTACTTTTATGTATGTGTAGGCCTACATATTTAAGTGAGTGGGTTGATATGAGAGACACAGGAAGAGTGAGAGAGGGGAAAAGAGAGGGAGGGAGGGATGGAGAGAGGGATGGAGAGAGGGAGGGAGGGATGGAGAGAGGGAGGGAGGGATGGAGAGAGGGAGGGAGGGATGGAGAGAGAGAGAGAGGGATGGAGAGAGAGAGAGAGAGAGAGAGAGAGAGAGAGAGTAATGATTTGCATGCTAAGGCAAGTCAGAAGAGCAAACACTTCCATTCTATTTAAATTTCTTAAATTCTTTGCTTCCAAAATCTTCATTGCTGTTCAATCCTCTCAGTCTCAGCTCCTTTATATCAATGAATGAACTTCTCATATTATCCCCCCCCTCACACCCCCCCCCCCCCCCGGTCTTCCTCTTTTGCTTTTGTTTCTCTCTGTTTTATAATTGTATTTTGTAGTTTGCTGTTCATTATTCTCAAAGTTTTCTTTTTTTTTTTGATCAACCTGACATTTCTGTTTCTTGCTTCTTCCTTGAACAGATACGGAACTTCTTTTCTGTAGATGCCATTCCTTTTCCTCTAAATATAATTGTTCTTTCCAAAGTAATGTTGGAATTGTGTGAAAATAATAACTCCACTGTGATTTGAAGTTTTTCTCTTATCTACTCCTTACGCTCACTGACATTATTATGATGAAAGTTGCTTTTTCTTTAAAAATGATACGATAAAATGACATGCTATGTTGTGTATTTTCTTTAAGATGAGCAGTGCTCTATGAAGCAGTGACTGCAGTGCCTGTGGTTTGAATCTTTCACTCTCTCATTGTTTTCCGCTATAACAAATTACCAGCTCTCTTTCAAAAGACCTTTCCTGTACCTCTGTTTTAATCGCGTTTTGAGAATAGCACAATATATCAATGAGTAATGGGGGAGATATTATGTTTTACATTTACTATTGGTCTGTAGTGAAATTAACTTAATGTCGTTGGGAACTGATATTGGTTCAATGATGGTCCACACTTTAATACAATCCATCCATGTCTCGACACCTGAGCACCCATTTTAGCTCTTTTCATTAAATGTGTTGTTGGACGACTTCTACATGTTTTTGCTTTTTTTGTTGGAAAGTTTTTGGTTGACCATACTAATCTGTACCATCTGTTTTCTTTCCTTCATTTAATTTTTAACATGTACTTATAATTCTGATCCATACTGTCATTACTGGCCACATTCATGACCGTATTTTTACTTTTCGTGACCATGCACACATAAGTTAATAAGTTTCGTACCATCTCGTAGAAGGTGTTGGGTGTAGACTTGCTAAGTCTGAGAATTTATTTGAAAAAAGGTCAAACATTTTTTAACAGTGTCTAAACTTGCTCCTGTACTGTTGATGTAGTTTTTATCCAGAATGGAAGTAAACTAAAATATCTCTCAAGTTAAGATCAGATAAGCCAAGATAGATGATGTTTCAATCGGAAATTTTTCTTGGATATACAGGAATGGTAAAAACACATGTAGAACAAGCCTCGTCGTCATGACCCATAATTTGGAGCAAAGAAATGTTGACAGGTTTAATCGGTCTCTACTGGAATAAGCTTTTCCAGCTGCAGGGAAGACTTTTATTAAGTGTGTGTTGTGCTCATAGAAATGTGGTCATTTCCTGAAGTGGCTCTAGTTATTTGCTTCGCAATGTCTGCCCCTGGGATCAGACGGAGGTCTTGAAATATTTAGTGTTCAAGTTGTATATTTTGATTTTAAGATACAGTGGTGGAAATATTTTATCAGTGAAATCTCCCTCAAAAGAAAATACCACACAGAGATAGGAAAGGTCAATTTTTTGTTTGTCTCAGCCTCCTTGTCAATGGTATGAAATAATTGGCAGTGTTTTCATTATAACCTAAGCGCCTACAGGCCAGCCCATATGGCAGTTTTTTAACTCTTATGGAAAGTTTCGTTTTTCTTTTTTTATATTTCTTATTTCTTTGTATGCAGTATCGTTTGATTGTTTAATGCATCTTCACCTCTAAATTGTAATGCTCTAGATTATTTAGACGAATGTCTCAAGAATTCAAGAGGATTAGAGTGAGATATAATACTTTTATAGTAATTACCATTCAACAGTAATAAAGCCCTCTTTACGGTTCAAATAATTCTTTTCCAGCAGTGCCAATTTTCCAAATTAATCAGGAAACCTAGATGTTAGATTTTGTTTGCATTTTGCCGTGCTTATACATTTATTTTAATTTTAATCTATTCATGCATTTCATATTGCACTTTATATTTTCAAAATGGTCTTGATACAAGATGTGTTAGCCAATATGATCTGTAATACTTAAGTCCCAGCATCACGTTTCCACAGGGACAGAGAAGTTCAGAATTTTATTTCGTAGCCAATAGTCACCTTTGGTTTTCACTATTATGAGAGTTATTAGTAATGTATTTCTCTAATATACAGTTTACAGTGTTTCACCATACTTGTTTTAAAAAATTATGCGGTGTGTGCAATTTATAATTGTAATGATGTCATGTGATATATTCTTTAGTGTAATCTGAAGATAAGCGAAGGGCTGTGGCTCAGTTTCTCTCTCTATGGTTTTGACAGGTTTTGTCAAAATCTTACTTACATTTCATCTTCAGATCATTATGTAATTTGTCTCCAGTACAGCCTGACTGAAATGAGTCGATAGTGCCGTAAAACACCTATTCAATCAATCAATCAAACAGCCTGACTGATAGTATTTTACTTCTTCACAAGTTTTTTGAGACTGGGGATATACTTTTTTGTATGACAACTGCAGTTTCATCCCAAACTTTAAGAGTGGTCAATCTTCTTATGGATGTTTTGATGAATATAAATTACACCACTTACATGCACACTATAAGGCCTCAATTTTACTGTGTCAGTTAAACATGGGGACTTTAAGATGAAGCAGTTAGCCTGTGGCATGTTTGATTTGTTAACAAAACTGTTACATTTCCTTGAAATGATTTATATTTCCAAATCTTTGGAATTTTTTCATATTTCCCATTGTTTCAAGCCAACACTGTTGATTATTTCTGATGCTGAATGATAACAAGCTTATTTTTGTCCCCCTCAGTCAAGCGTTTAGACTTTGGAGCCAAACAACTGGCATACGACAATCTGGCCCCTGACCAGAACCGAGTGACCCTGAGAGGTCTAATCCCAGACTCTCAGTACCGGGTGTTTATTCAGGCCAGCACCAAGGAAGGACTTGGCAAGGAATACTTCATCGACATACGCACCAACAGTGGAGTCTTGTGTGAGTGCCCGGGGAAGCGTTCTTCAGGCTTTTCCTCTTTTGATACATTTTACTATTGCGCATTTGAAAATCAATTTTTGTTTTAAAATGTATATAAGGTTGATTATTCAGTGTTGAATTAAATATCAGTGTCCTTACTTCAAAATCATTGAGGAAATGAAAGTGTTACAAGCTGTTACAAAACAAGTTCCAGATTTTAAAGATCAGCTCGCTCATTACCCTGGCCTTGTCTGTGAATGTGCTGGGATGTGTCAAGACGGTGAAGTACCTACAGCCAAGAAGAGGTCAGAAAGTTTTTTTTTAGCTAACAGTTACAGTTTGACTGTATTTGGTTACTTTAAAATGCACCGTTGGAAATGCTTTTTCATCCAAGTTATGGCCAAAGACAGTTAACGGAATGATTGAAATGTTTCTGACAGTTGAAGATGTTAATACTTTCTTGTATGAAAGGTTTCCATACAGAAAGGAAATGCTTTCTTTTTTTGTGTGTTTCAATGTAGAACGTTGGTGTTAAGTGAATTCTTACTGTCCTCAGCGATGGCCCTCCCTGTGGTCCAGGATGTAGAATCCTCTGAAGACGAGGCCAACATAACCTGGGGCGTTCTTTCTGCTGATAAAGGCAGCAGACATGGGCAGTTCTACTACATTGAGTACAGGAAATTAAGTGAGTACCTTTTTTGATAAAAAGAAATTCTCATCCTCCCTTCTCGTTTTAATGAATCTGTTATCCTATGCCTCCCTTCTCTTTGGTATTTTTTTTCTCTGTTTCACTCTCACTCTCTTTCATGTCTCACCCCCTGACTTACATTCATGCACCGTGGAGTGTACTGAAAATGTGGCATGACGCAGTGAAATCAGGCTCTCGCCAAGTTTTGATCATACGGAATTGATAGTATCATCTTAAGGCCTGTCCGTTTTCCTTGTGTTGGGTGAAAATGATATCCATTTATGTTGAATAGAAGGCGAGGTATATGTGATTGAAGGAGGTGAGGGTCATCTAGTTTCAGAGGTAAAATTAGCGAGAAAATGGCCACCAAAGTTATTTCTTTAGCTTGAAAGTCCATTGAAACTGAAAATTTACATTTCTTCTGCTTTTAATCAGCGTTTTTCAGTAAAGTCCACACAGAAATATGGTCTTAAATGGGCATGAAAGGTGTTAAACCAAAAAACTAATATTCGATTAAAATTTCCAAACCTGCGGGAAAACGACGCTGCCTCACAAATAGTGATCATCTTGCTGGGAGTAATGATTTTAGCCCTACTTTCGAGCACTATATGTCAATTTCTTGACTTTCATTATTTTGACGAGCGCCTGATTTCACCACGTTGCCTGACAAATAGTGATCATCTTGCTCGGAGCACTGTATGTACTTAAGTCTAAGCTTATTTTGCTTGCAATAGTTTCCTCTCTGTTGACCGATTCCCCCCTCCACCCCACCACCTTACTTCTCAGATACCGAAAAGTGGATGCGCGACAAAGATGTGGTGGAGGGCCAGTTTTGGGGTGAGCTGAAGCACTTGGAGCCTGGCACCCGGTACGAGGTTCGAGTCCTAGCCATGGCACATGAGAAAGGAGAGTCCCGGCCCAGTAAACCGTTCCCGTTTGCCACCTCAGGAGTGGGTAAGCCTCGTCTCATATGTGCTCTCTCAATCTCTTGGAGCGTGCACAACCTCACTGACGCCCTCTCTCACAGGCGAGGGCACTTTCAGATATCTACGCACGAGCACCAGAATGAACACCCTTAAACACAAAAGACATCACATCCGCACAAATGTTCACGCGTGTGCACAATCACGCACACACGCACACACACACGCACGCACATTTATTAATGAAGATACTCAAACTCATGAGACCCATGCACTCTCAGATATGAACTCAAGTAAATTTTAATGTACATTTTTTCATTCTCATACCTCGCGTTAGATTGCTATCCATCTTTATTTTTTTAATTTGCTTTCTGTCATAATTTTTTTTTTCTGATCTATGTTCAGTTTTCCCCTTTTGAACTTTTCCCAATGTTTGTGTCTGTGTGTGTCTTTGTGAATGCAGGAAAGCTGTGTGTTTGCGCAAGTATGTATGTGCCCCTGTATGCGCATCAATGCGTCATTCCACCCATGGGTGTAATTGTTTGTGAGTGATGAAGTACCATTCGTGCACATGGCAGTCTATTTAGAAATCATTGGGTTATGTCCTCAGCCCCTGCCTTCTCCACCATGTCTTTTTTTGTTTGTTTTTGGTGGGTTTTTTATTGTTCATTGTCTGTTTGAGTTGTTTGCTACAGTGGTCACTCAGTCATCTGCTTCTTTTTTTTTTTGAGATTGCTTTTTTTCTTATATTTTTTACCTACATTTTTTCATCAAGTTGTTCAGGTTAAGATTAATGGCTAAGCTTGTATAAATTTTTGTTAGAAATGTAAGACCAAATGCTGCACTATTCAAGGAGTTTTATATATTGAGGAACTGTACGTTCTGCTGATAAGCCAAGGCAATTGATAGCGGGCAAGAAAGAAAGAGATTCATTTCTAAAGGGCACATTCACATAACATAGTAAGTAAGCAGGTTGTGTCAAGCCAAATTTGAACAGTACAACTATGTTTGAGAAGCGTCTGAGGTGCGTTCTAAGCAACTGGAGGGTTCAAGCCACTTTCTGGGTAGTTTCTTAATTTTGCCGGAGAATATCACTTGATTTTAAAGATTTTTTAACAAAGTGACAAGGTCTACTCCAAAATACTAAAATTGGATGATACTTCATTTCCCTACTTTTAGTTCTTCCAATGTGTCCAAACCACTCCTTAATTTCAATGCAAAAGATTTTAGTTGTTTGAATCTAAGGTCGTATTTGGGGCACAGAATGGGTTTCCTTGAGGTAAAAGTTATCATGTGAGATAAGGGCCAACATATTAAAATAAAACCTGAAGTAGAATGTTGAGTTCCATACATGTATGGTGAATGAGGCAAATCAGAGAGTGTTAACTTAATTGTCAGAAGGTTAGGAATCAGGAGCAAAGTCTCCACGCATGTTGATAGAGCCTTTCGAAGGTGAGATTTCTCCTGTAAAGTTTTTGTTTTCTCTGGTATGTTGTCATGCTGCTTGTCTATTGCTTCTGTAATTCTTTTTGTCGTAGCTCATGTCAACTGAAGCTTATATAATTGTTATTGTTTTTCCATTGCTGACTGTACATGTATGTAGAAACGGTAACTTAATTTATCTGTGCTTTCGTCTGCCAATCTACCATTAGTAGTAAGGGTGCCACATTTCGAAAACTTCCAAGAACTCATTGAGATTTTGTGGCACCTTAGTCTGTCATCATTGTTCCTGGTCCCTTCTCCTGAACTGCAATCGACTAGCTGGTACTGAGAGAGACTTAATAGTCTACTCTTGTTATTCTATTTTAATGCCTTGTTGTATCTCACAACAGTTCTGTATTTGGTGAAACGGTTAAGATCTTATTCTTTCATGGAAGACACAGGTTTGATTCCCTTGTGGGGAAGATTATGGTACCAAAAATGTGTCGTTTTTTTTGCGGAGAGGTTGTATCCCCATGCAGCTCGATTTAGCCCGCACTGGCAGGGTCAAAGCAGCCCGACTCTTAAGTCTTCTGAATGGGGTTGATGTGGTAAAAAATATTTTTAGTCTTTGTCTATCCTGGAATCAATATAAGATGGTGGTGTCCCCTGTCACATTACAATCCCCTTCATTGTCAGTTTTCCCCACCTGGAATCTAGTGTCCCAGTTATTGGAGAAATATTACACACTTGTCCTGTTTCGATGACCTGTCCGGTCTTTAAACAAATGTGTTAATGTGTATCTTCCCTAAACACTATGAAGTAATTTGATTTGCAGTTTGGTCAGTTGTATTTAAGGACTTCAAAGTTTGGGTAATTTAGATCAATACCACTCTAAGGATTTCTTGGGTCCTTTACTGAATCCATCACCCATGCTTTAGCTATAGGCCCTGCGGGAAAAGGTTTGAAATTGCTCCTTGAAACTACCCAGGGCCTATAAAGGCCATCAGGTGAAGGGCTTTCTTGCAAGTATGTTTTCGGAGGATAAAAGAGAGTGATTTCACAGAAGACACTTTGCAAGTGGGTAAATGAGAGCCCTGCTCATGTTTTTAGTATTTGTTCTCCCCAACTCTCTGTCCTGCAAGTATGTTGAATGAGAGACTGGTTAAAGGAAGGAACATAAACCACCAAGTCTTTGTACTCACCTTTGATGTCTAATACAGTAACAGGGGATCAGACTCTTTAACAAACACAAACAAAAAAATCCAAATAAGAGTTGTGTGGATTCTTTTTGTCTAGATTCATGTCTCAATGCAAGGGGGGGGGGCATTTTCTTCCCCCCCTGAACCCATCTTTCTAGTTATGTTGTTTAAAAAAAGCACACAATTTGGCTATTCTTTATACATTCATACTTTTGTTTTGTGTTGTCACTGTTTATCCTCAACTCAGATGTGTCTTGTACTTGAATCGTGCTGATGTGGGTTGCTGGAGGGAATTTTTTTTAGCTCTCTTCGTCTTTTCTGTGTATTTAATCTATTATTTGTCTGGGGGGGTTTTTACGTTTCACCTCAAAGACATTTGACTGTATTTTCAGTATGTCTCTCTAAAACATGGTTGTTGGGTTAGTGCTTCGGAATAGGCTTCTCCTTCCAGTGTCCTAATATTATTATGTTTCTTGGTGAAATGTGGCCTTTATTGTACGGAGTCCTTAAATTACAACACATCTCTTCTGAGGCCAACAAGTGGACAACAAACAAGTAACTGTGTTGTTGTTTTTTCATATTGCTGTTTTCATCATTTGTTGCCATAAGTCATAAGCTAGTATTTGTGTTTTGTAGTCTCTTATCTAATGTCAGGTTCCCGTCTGTCGGTTGTTGGTTGGCGCTCTGATGTGGTTTGCTCCTTCTTTTCTATCAGACATCTATCATCCGTTTCTCTTCTCTTTCTTTCCTTTGTATGTAACTCTCTAGTAACACATCTAATCTTTGGTACTTATAATATGCCCTATTCATTTTACAAGTGCCATAGAACTCTTACTAAAACAAACACAAAAACGTCTGTGTCTAATGTCAGGTTCCTGTCTGTTCTTCAACTATGTGACCTTTGACCTTTGTGCCTCCCGACCAGGTCTGGGTGGTCTGAGGGTGATGGCCTCTCCCTTGACCCGTGTGGCTCGCAGCTCAGACAATGAGACTGAGGCCCAGAACACCACTGTGGTGCCCACACTTGAAGGTCAAACAGAAGTGCATTGAGACTCGAACCCTCACCACTCTGTGCAGTGTCCATGTTTACTAAAGAATGCCTTCCCCCTCTCCCTTGCCTGGGTCCGCTGTTGTCATGACTTGAGTGTTATCCTGCTAATATTTCCTTAACACTGGCCCTATACATAGCATAGGTATCCTTAACCCTTTCTTAACCGGTACTATGGGGAGGAGGGGGGATGGGAGCAGGCTAAGCTGCCTTCTCCACTTGGTTGTCACTGATGGGCTTCACATTAACGTGTGAACATTGGGTTCATGGTAATTTGGGTTTGTGGGTACTGTTGCTGACAGGCAGCACATAATATTAAAACTCTACAAAAACAAGATTGCTTACATCCAAGATACTGATGGATATATATGGATATGGCACACGCTGGCAGCGAGTTAATACACCAAAGAAAGTTGACGGATCAGTAAGAAAAAGTGAGAAATGTGAATGGCTCAGTCTCATGTAAGAAAAAGCAGGACTGTTAAGGCCAAGATTCTGATACACATGTATAGGCTGGTGCAACGTAAGATGTCGTCCCCTGTCATAGCCAAGTCTGTGACCAACTGAGCTACATGTAACTCTACCCAGTTCGAAACAACATTCCTGTGAAGAAACTGTGCAATAGACAGGACGGAGTCATTTATTTTGTACTTTCTTTTTATTAGCACAAGGATGAATTGTAGCCACAAGGGCAAGGAACCACTATTTGCCTTTCTCTTGTTTATTGGTGTTATTAACTAAACAATTGTAATGCTGAAGAAAGTTATCTAGATCAGTGGAGCACTGACGGTATTTCTGTTATGTATTTGTGTTTGTCTTGCTGTAAGCTCATATCCAGTCAATGTTTATCTTAATCCAAGGAGAACATAGTCCTGACCCAACAAAATATGTATGTGAGACTATATGCTAACCATAGAGCAGTATACCTGCATCCTTCCGTGTACCTCTGTCTTTGTCTACCTGTCTTTCTTTCTCTCTATATTTTTCTTAACTAATCAGCATGGTAAAAAGTATCAGGTTTTTTCTGGCTGTTGTGGTGACTGAGCTGATCATGGCATGCCACCCGGATTCCTTCCTGAACTACACTCTAAAACAGAAAGAGAAAAGCAAACCCTGGAAAAATTGGTGCCTGTGTGAAAGATGGACAGCACTGATCTATGTGGGATTATCTGTATAATGTGCACCTTGGCTTCTTCGGGGGCCAAGGTTCGTCTCCTGTAGGCCTTTGGTCTAATCATTTGGTCTATTTTTCAGTTGCAGTTGTGTCTCTACCACAGCCACATGTTTTGATTTTTGTTACTTCGTTATTGCAAACTGATATGAGCCTGCAAGTGCTGTCCGAGATTGGTTTGAAAAGAGAAAAAAAAGAACAGATTGGATTGGTTCTGACAATAAATTAGTTCAAGTTGTATATTATACTGAAGGATTCCTATTATTGTTCATGCAACAATTTGTGGACTTTTTTTTTTTGCTCTTTGTTCTTGTTTCTACCACTTTGTGCTTATGACGTAGTCAGTCGTACATTAAACTTTTTGTTTTGTTTTTAGCTTTCAGGGATGACACTTCTTTTCCTTTTTGGCATAAAAATGAGGGCCTCCATAAATCTTGTTATTAAAAAAGAAATTTTGATTTTTGTCAGATGAGTCTGTGAAAGGAGTGGGATTTGGGCCCCAGATCTTGTATGTAGTCAGTCACAATAGTGTCTTGCCTCTTTGAAGTTTTAATGTTGTGTGGTTCTTGACAATATTGACAAGCCTGATGATATCTTTTCTGGTTGGTTTGCCTGCCTATTCTGAGCTGCGTGTGTGGCTGCCATGGCCTGTGCGCAATTTACATTTTGTTGTGGTGGAATGACATACTACTCAGATTTGTTAGCATTCGAGTGCCTTTGTCTATGTGTGTCTTTGTGTGTGTGTGTCTTTGTGTGCCTTTGTGTGTCTTCGTGTGTGTGTGTGTGTGTGAGAGAGAGAAAGAGAGAGAGAGAGAGAGAGAGAGAGAGAGAGAGAGAGAGTATATAACATGTGTGTGGGTGCATATTTTGTGCTTCTGTTTTGTGTTTTTGCCTTCCCTCTGTACATTTAAAAAAATTTATTTTTCAAAATTGTGACTAAAAAGGTTTTAGTTTTTTCTACTTTGGTTTTATGGGTTTGGGTATTTATACTTTATTCAGTCTGTGCTTGCCCAAGTGTGTGTGTGTGTGTGTGTGTGTGTGTGTGTGTGTTTGTTGGTGCTTGTGCGTGCGTGCGTGTGTGCGCCTGTTTTGTGTACCTGTGTTTGTACCATTGATTCTGTTTGTTCCTACTTCTTTATATTCAGTTTTTCTCCTCTATGCTACATTTATGTACATGCTGAAGTCTTCCCACTGCCAATGTGTGGCTTGTGTTAGAAGTTATTTAAAGCTTTATTTAATAATGGTCGTAGATTTCATTTTGGAGAGATTTTAAATCTAAAAGACTCATAGATGTTACTTGGTTACATTTTTTTATCGAGTGATTATTTGATTTGTTGATTGACATGCTCAGGAGGTTTCTCTGTCTGTTCTTTTTCTTTTCCCCATTGTAATTTCTATGAATTAGTTTCTGAATGCGTCTTGTTTAGATCTAACAGCTGTTGGTTTGTAGATGCTGTGATGTGCTCTTTTTACCCTTACAATTATTCTTATTTGTCCAAAGTGAATTGTAATCATTTAATGCTATGTTGGCATAAACCTACACACAACATCCCAGTCCTGCTTTTATGGAGGAAATAGTTGGAGAGTGTCAGCTGCAAGTCCTACTTCTTGGCTCTCCTTCTGTTGCTTCACTCGGTCTTTCTTGCTTTTTCTCTCCCTTTACTTATTGAGTCAATTTTCTGCTCCCTCGAACTTAAATTTCTCCTAATGAAAGCATCTCTTACAATGTTTAACTCCTTTCTTGGGCAAGAAAATCACTATAATTTCAGTGTACTGGGGAATGGTGTTCAAATTTTCAATCTGAGTATGTGCCTTTTCTGTTAATAAATTATCAGCTCCTTCTTTTCACCTTTATCCTTTTCTATGGGATATATTTTTGCAGTGAAAGAGTTTAAATTTCTTTTAGGAAAAATAGCAGACTTAATGAATGTTTCTTTCTTTTGCCACCAGGTGCATCCCGGGCAAGTTTCCTGAGCGCAGCCTGGTTCATCGGCATGATGGTAGCCATCATCATTCTCATCCTCATCCTCATCATCGTCTGCATCATCAAGAGGAACCGTGGTGACAACTACCCAGGTACTTGCAATTTGTGTTGTATTACTTGATCATGTATGGTCTGCTGCGTGTACTTTCTTAGTTTTTCTGTTCTCCTGATCTCTACCTGTTAACGTTATCATGTAAACTGCAAGTAAACTATATATCTCAACTCAGTTTGCTTTTACTAATTTTATATTGTATTATACCCTAGTGTTTCTTTGAGCTGGCCAAGGTTATAGATAGTCTGTTGTCCCTTCACCAGAGATCATAACTCCAGTTGCTTCACAAGTATCTCGCGGGCAAAAGTAAGAAAAAATTGGGTGAAATCGCTTGAAATACCCGAGCTCTCAGAAGTGACACCAAAACTGACACTGTCGCATATGTTTCTCAAGGCCATTTCATGAGATAAAATATTAGATCTATTGCTTCCAGCTGGACCACAAACGATTTATTTGATTTTCAAGGTGGTCAGTTTGTTTTTATTTTTTATAAATCAGATCACTATCGGTAACATTCATTTTGAATTACTTGGCTGACACGCAGGTCAGACTGAAACTGCTCACAGATTGCTCATTTTTTAGATAAATGTCATTTCTTCAGTCTCTTCATCTTTTGTTGTTTTTCTGTAGTCTATTGTCCCAATCTGTTCCTGGAGAAATGTGCCTGCTCTCGTGCTGACCCACCATAAATTACATCTCATGTTCTTTGTCATTTCAGTGCAAGAGAAGGAGAGATTGCGAGGCAACTACAATGATGACAACCCTGATCACTTTAACGGCTTTGGCAAGGGGTGAGTATGAAATTTAAATATGAAATGTTTGTTTATAGTTCTACATGTCGCCTTTGTCTGAGGGCTCACATGATTTCACAATAGCTCTTGGTCTGTCCATTCTAAATATGCCACCTCATTCCCTTCGAGGTCATACGAAGTTGCCACCTTTTGGATGCATGCCACAATCATTGACTTACATACCACAACTATAAACTGTCTAATATGCTTTTGGTTAAAATGAAATGATGGAAATGGGTAAAGCATCCTCTCTAAAACTGCTGCATCCTGTTGGGTTGAGCCAGGAATTGAAGAGTGCTCGACTACAGTGTCTTAAGTTGACTTACGAGTCACTGAACATATACATACAGACTTTTGAGTGTTTGGCCAAGATATATTTTATATTCCAGACTTGAATGGAAGTGTTTCTTCTTTTACAAGACACAGATAGTTAAAACATTTTAGTCCTATCAAGATCTTTGCATGTTCTTCTACAGTTATCGATCTGTGCATATATAGGATCCCTTGACTACATTTATGCTGTCTCCCACCCCGAGTTCCTTGAAGAACAAAACAAACAAAATCAGCCATCAAACTCCTCCCCAAATTTCCAATAAAAATCAAGACTAAAAAGGAAAAATTAGCAACACACACCATTTTGGCAATTAATTTGAGGATTTAGAAAATGAATTCTCTTTAATTTTTTTCCCTCAGAGATGAGAACGGCCTTGGAGGGAGCAGCTCATTTGACCGTGATGCAGAGAAGGTGCCCCTGGATGAAGACACAGACAGCTTAGACTACGGAGACGATGATGCCAGCAAATTCAACGAGGACGGCTCCTTCATTGGCCAATATGGTCGTGGCGAGAAAGGGAATGAGGGAACAAATGCCTCATCTATAGTCTAACAGCATACATATACACCTTTTTGGTGAAATTGAGTTTGTGTTTTTCTTTTTGTTTGAAAGAAGAAGTGGATGCCTAAGGTCTAAACGGAGCCAAACAAAATGTTCAGTTGTAAATGTTTTTCTACCTGAGTAGATGACTAAATCATTTTGATTTTGACCTTATACTTTTTAGGAATAGATGTAAACTCAGCTTTAAAATGTTCATTGCAATTTAAGTTGCAACACTACAGAAAACTAATCCACTTATTATGTTTACCACAACTTTAAAATACGTTTTCTTTTGGCTCACTTTAGGTCTCAGGTTTCCAAATATGAGAACTAGTTCCAAACTTGTGATGTGATAATGATTTCTGTTGGGAAGTTAAAGGTTTTTTGGTATATTTGTTCATAATGTTTTTTCTGTGCTGTAAGAAGCTTCTGGGTTGCAATTTCTCTAATATGGAAGGTTAAGGGGTTTCTTTTGTAATTATTCAACATGTTCTTTTACGTGCTGTAAGAACAAGCTTTTAATATGGCAGACCATCTGTCGCATTTTCATTTTGGCTGAAACCTGAAGACGTTTTCCTCCTTTGTTCCTTTTTTTGAATTATAATACAAGATGTAGCTTGTTGCAATGTTCTGCACGCTCTTCTAATTTGATCTGAAAACTCGCAAAAAATTAATTGTAGTTTTAAGTCTTGCCAGGAAGACAAGATAGTATGCTGTATTTGCTGTGTCACAGCTTTCCTTCTAACGAAGAAGATTGTGACAATTAATTTTTTTAAGGGTTTTCAACTTATGAAGAAGTTAAATTTTTCTAGGTAGAGAGCGACTATGCTTTTCATTGTGTCAAGCTTTTTCCCTATATTATTGGGATTTTGTTTTCGTTTTTCTGTGTGGAGGTAGTTTACACTTTAATGTGTCCGGTCTGCAGCTTTAGGTTGTGATGTGCTATTTATTCTCACCTGTTCTGTAGTCCTGGTAACTGTGTAGTTTCTGCCTGTGAAAGAGGCGGGTCATTGGCTTGCTGGAGAGAATTGGATACACAAGTTGGAGAGAGGACATTTGCTAAGAAAGGTCTTGGCCCTGTTCTAGTTTTGGTGATGTTAACGTTCTGCACAAATTAAGGGACTGTTTACAAACTTCTGACAGATCATCCTACATTGTCAGCTAAAGTTTTTAATAAGTCTGTGTCACACTCGTTGCAAGAAATGGAATTTTCCAGACAATTTTCCTATTGCTCGTGAATGTCCTCCCTTGAACTTTATATTTTCTCATTTTTTTCATGATTTTTTTCCCCCCTAGATAGGGAACTTAATGTATGCAAGGAAATAAGTGTTTCTCTTACACTATTTATGAGAATGTACTGAAGTCATTGAGACATTGTGTGTTTGTATGTGTGTGTGCATGCATGTGTGTGTGTGTGCGTGCATGCATATGTGTGTGTGTCTGTGTATGTGTATACGCATGTGTGCAGGCGCTTGTGTGTGTGTGTGTGTGTGTGTGTGTGTGCATGTGCGCATAAGAAAGAGAGAGAAAAAGAAAGAAAGAAGGCTGACTGATCAATGAGTGTGGTTTAATATTTTGGTTGGTTTGATTTGTAAATCTTTGTAATAGTAGATCTATACAGATATCATTCAGTGTAGTGTGTGCCTGTGTGTTTTGGTAGGAGTGTATATAATCTACTACATGGATGTGCTTGTCTTACTTGCCCCAGCTCGCTACTGCCTCTATTCCTGCTTCTCTGTACGTTGATTTTGTTGTGCGCAGCACACGCAGTGTGTGTTGTTCTCTCATTCTAGTTCATTCCAGTGTGTGGTTTAGGGGGACTCTAGCCTGGCTGGATTTAGTGCGGTGTTCCTGTCTGTGTTTGTATGAAAAAGTGAAAAAGAAATGTAAATGAGTGAATGACACAAAGAGAGAGAATGTGTGCAATTGAAATGGGCATTAGTATTTTATTTAGTGAGTGTTGTTGATATTCAAATATTTACGCCTGTGCTATGTGTGTGTCTCTGTGTATGTGTGTATGTGTGTGTGTGTGTGTGTGTGTGTGTGTGTGTGAGTGTGAGTGTGTACTTGATTGAGTGAGAACGTGCATGTGTTTGGTAAAAAAGTTGATATTGAAACAGAAAGTTTCCAATGAAATATTGCTGCTGCTGTGGCTAGGTTTGTAGTTAGTTATGTTTTCTCCAGTCAACCATACCAACAGTGTCAGCAAAAACTGTTGGTTATTGCTGAAGCAGCAACACTAGTGGAATATTTATTCCTTTCTAGATGTTGTGTACAGGTATTTGAGGTTACTCTTTTGTTCTGAAATCTGTCCAGAGTTCCTACAAGAAGGTGCTTTATGATATTATGTTTCTTCACAAGTCACTGGATTCTCTTTTTTATTTTTGGAAAAGGTTCTATACACTAATTTCTTTATTTTTGTACAGTCAGTTGTTAGGATATTATTTTTAAGACATATTGTTGCGAATCACGTACCCATTACATTTTTGTGCAATTTTACTCTGGTTTCAGTACAAATAATTTGATGTGTTTTTCAATTGATCACACTTAACAATGACTAAATACTATTTTTCCAGGATAGCTGTAGTGAATCATTAATTCATCATTTTGTTGAGTGTTTTTGCATGTGTACAAATGGACCTTGAGGATGCTCATTATGTCACATGCATTTCCCCTCACAAATTGACTTCAATCTCTTGCTGACTTGATGCATGTCTCATTATGTTCACTGTGTCCAATAATCTCAATTTCAGTGTTGCTTTTTCATTCTGCTGTACATTTTACTACCGTTCTCAGACTCTTGCTAAGTTTGACTGCCCCACATGGTTTATATTTATAAATCTAACCTGTAGGGACTTTTAGTTTTCAAGAACTCCCAATGATCTTTTTCTTCATGTAAAAGCCCTGGAAAATTATTGTAGGCCTTTCATTACTCTTTGGATAATGTTGTTTTTACAACGGAGTCTTAAATCTTGAATTTCATGAAAATGAGATGCCTATAAACAAGCCAGTTAAGTATGTATATGTGTGTGGCATCGTGGTGAAATCAGGCACTCGTCAAAATAATGGAATAGAAGAAACTGATATTTTTCATGAGTTGAGCTTTTTTTTTTCCTTTACATTTTTTTGGCTCGACATGTTTTATGTCCATTTAAAACACATTTTTGTGTAGATTTTGTTCCTAAACGTTGATCAAAACCATTAAAATATAAATTTGCAGTATCCAAGGGCACCCAAGCTTTGAAAGTCACCAAACTTTGGGGGCTTTAATCTTACCTTTGACATCAGGCGACCCCCACCTCCTTCAACGGCAAATAATTTGTAAAAGTAAGGCAAATATACAGACTTTAAGATTATACCTATAACTTTATTTGCGCAAAAATTGACGAGCGCCTGATTCCTCCGAGTCATGACACATATATGTATTTATATATAGTGTGTGTGTGCGTGTGTGTGTGTGTGTTGTGTATATGTGTGTTTATTCAGCTCATGAAATTCGTTAAAGCTGTTCTATGATTGGTTTTATCATGAGTAGTACTTGCCTTGCTTCATTTTTAATGTAGCAAATGAGGATCCTTTTTTGTTTTTTTTAATCCTTGAGTTGGAGAAAGATCTGCTTCTTTATTCACCCTGTTTACAATGTGTGGTAGCCAAGTACTTAAATTTCAGCCCTCAGCTTACTCCTCCACAACACCTCTGAGAGCTGACTGTGTGTGCTGATGGGAGAGGAGGGGGGGGGGGGGGGGCTGTCTGGAACAAATCTAGCTCCTTGTCTAATACTTTTGGGTGTTCATTTGAGTCCCGATGAGTCTCTGAAGTCATGAATTTCCACACTTTTTGCTTCTTGTGGAATAGATCATTACCCGGCTCTTTGAACTGGATGGATGTGTCCTTTTCTTTGTAGAAGCAAGCTTACACTACATCTTAAGCTCTGGAGACTTTAATGAAATGCTAAGTTGCAAGTAAGACCCCTGTTGTATTATTACACAGAGCAGACTGAAGTGTTGATTGAAGACAGGAGGAACAATGCCAGTTTGAATGGTTGGCTATTGTGTTTCAGAAGGTGTGTGTGTCTCTACTTTACGTTCTTCTGCTCTCTGTAATTAGTGGATCCTTTCTCTTGCCTTCTATGTCATGCTTAAACCATAACAAACTTGTCATTTGGGAAGTTCTTATTATCAAATCACGCGTCGTACTGTCCAGCCTATTTTTATATAATGTGTCATCGTTGTTTTGATGTGTACTGTATCGCAGATTTTTTTTGTACAAAGTTACTTTTTTGTTTTGTTCTGCAACGTGTGAACCCCTATTTTTTGGTCTTGTAGGGAGAATCACTTGTCAGTTCTCTCTCTATCCAGCCGTACAGTTCAACATGTTCAGCTTTGCTTCCTTTATTTTGGTTTTCTGTTTCCACAGTTCTGAATAGCTCATTGAGAATCATATGTATATTTTTATTATTATTATACACGTCCTTTTGAAATGCCATTAGAATTGTGGTGGGGTTTACGTTTTGTAAAAACCACTTTTTTTTATATGTAAGGAGTGCAATATTTTCTTTTCCCATCTTTGCGGGACTTGTAAAATCCAAACAACTTGAAAAGTTTTCATGTTTTATGAGCTGACTGATAGAACAACTTCTTCCGACATGTGGAACTTGTGGCCTTTTATATGGCGTTAGGTGAGAACTGTCCGAAGAAACTCACTTTCAGAATCCAGCAAAATGTAAGCTGTAATGACCATTGTGTGGAAAAACTGCCATTCTTTTGCATAATGTTTCAGCAATGTACAGTGAGCAGCTCTTACAGCAAGGCACAATGTAGGCTTTAACTTCCAGTGTATGTAGTGCAAGCTATTAGAAGGGTTGACTCAAGATTGTCAGTATAATCATTATAACAGCCACTGATGGCTCATTTTCCTTTTATGTACTTGATAGACAATTTTGTTGCTTGTAGCTACAGATTCCAGAGACTCATCTTGTCAGATGGTCAATGTCAGGGTTGAGTGCCATATTAATCAGTTGTCTCAAGGGTGAATGACACTAGAGTTTTGTATCAACTTCTCTGAAAACGTTTTCTTTGAAAATTCAGTATGCCCATTCATCATTTTCATATATTGGCTCCAGTCGCTGACATGACAGCTTTCAATTGTTCTTATCCGTCTATAATGTTTTATCAAGCAAGTTTTGGATACCACAAACCCCAGCCTGGTCACATGTGGCTCTTTTTTTTTGCCAGTGCCACCACATTTGAGTGTGCGTATGGAGGTCCAGAAATTGACATGCGGTGACATTCCAGTCACTTTGTACTTATTTGTCCTTACCGCTCGAGTTGATGTGACAGAGAGATGAAAAGATGTTTTCTTTGTCTTTTCTCTTATATTTCCAGAATCCAAAAATCTGTAGAGAATTTACTTCACAAAATGTTTGTGATAGTTTGCTCACCATTATTATTTACACACTGACTGTGTTTTTGAAAAAATAAAAATCTGAGTGGGAATTCTTGTTTAGACTGGATTTCCCAGGGAACATCCAGTAAGTGTTGAGCTGGTTGTCAACATCTTTGAAACTCTTTGAAATAAGTCCATGAAGAGGAAAGCTTTGGTTTCTGCGTTGTAATGGGGAATCTCTTTACCCAGTTTGCAGAAGATGAGCTTTTTTTGAAAATGTGGGTCAGCTGTTTTATTGGTATTCTCCTTCTTTCTACTGTAACGTATTCCACTCAGCCCAGGTTGGCCCTGACAGGTAGGGTTGAATCAGCTGGCTTCCTAAACAGGGGCGTGAAACATTTCATTCTTTTAAAGAAAAACAGAAGGCAGAGAAATAGCTGAAAATACAGAGCTCTTTATGGTTAAAATATTTTTGTATTGAGATGATCATCGGTGTAATTTTTAACTATCTCCACACCTAGCCAGGGGATTCTTTGTACTGCCTGTGCTTTTAGTGGTA